CCACTTTATGAAAAGGTCTTCAACTGTTCCTGATTTCATTAATGAGGACCAAGGAGAAACCCTTTTTTTTATTGTTTCCTTTCCATGATATCTGTGTCCTCCGGTCGGGCACGTCCTGTTCCAAAGCTCCTGTTGTGCCTGGTACGGTGTTCTTGGAAAAAGCGTTTTTCACTGCGCATGCCCGTCACATGGCTGGGATCAGCGGGCCTGAGCGGGGTCACGGCGAGAGCAGCGAGCTGCTGCAGGGGTCATTAAAAGTGTGAAAGAGTCACCCGGCGTCCTCGTCAAAGCCCGCGCCGACGGAACGCTGCATTTCACCGTAGGGGTTTTTAACACTTGGATCCTTCAGTTAATAATATTTTCCATCAGCGCCGCTTTGCTGCGAGGCGCTGGGAGGGGAAACGTTTTCCCTGTCCCATTGTTTTCCCCGCTGCTTGTCTCTGGTTCAGTTCTGTGTTTTTCCAGGGCTAAGCAGGGTTTATAGGTGAGTTATCAAACGGCCACTTGATCTGCGGTCCTGGTCTTGATCTGGCTTAACCTTTCTACCTCTGGCCCAGTTTACCAGCGAGTTCACAACTGGCCCAACTGGCCGGCGCGTAAATACCATCCTCCTTCCCATGAACTTGAATGTCCCGCCTCCACAAAACCTGCAGGTTGAACTTCAAAAGTTACTGCGACGTCAGCAGGTAAAATGTTTTATTCGTAAGGTCAGACGCAGTATTTGGTTGCGTTTTGAAAATCTGGGCCTGTCGCAATGAATCGATAAATCATTCAATTTCCATTTGCACGATTTATTGTTTTTCTCTTTCTACCAAAAAACTGGGTGACAGAAATCTCCAGTCAGGTGCATTGGTCTCAATCGGCGCATTTTTGAGGGACAATTTTGTGTACAAAAACTTCATAACACATTTTATTTATTGATTTGTTTATTTATTTTGAATATTTAAAATCCCTTATAGTCCAAATGTTAAATCTTCATTAAAATGTATAGTTTATTGATCTCTGAAAATGTGCTCTTGTGTTATTATGCCGTTGCCATTATATCCCTTGAAAATGATCTAAAAAAAACAAAAATATTATCGTATATCACGATAACTTCTGGGACAATTTATCGTTCAGCAGATTTTGGCGTAGCGTCAGCTCATATAGGACAAAAAAAGACAGAGTAGTGAGAAAAAGGGTTTGAGTTGCAAACAATATTATCCAGAATTATTATTGCGATAGTTTGTTGTGGTAAAACCGAACATGCCTAATCTGGTCCATATCATTTAATGCCAGTAAGTGAAAAGGAGATTGTAGTGGCATACGTTTCACTAACACAGTTAATGTTTTGCGCAGATGGTACCCATTCCTTGTTTTTTTTTTTGTTTGTTTTTAAAGTAAAGCAGTAAATTTAGGGGAACCCTTATAAAGATTTGGGTATTCTTTTTATCAGGGAGCAGCAGGGGTTTGTCTAATGGCTAAATGCAGATTTGGGTTAATCTTTAAAATGCAGCTGTTTCCTCATCGCACCTGCTCCCACAGAGACGGCTCCCGAATCCCAAAAAATACAGAAAACCCCACCGCGCTGCTTCATCCAAGCAGCATGTACACAACCTAAACAATGCAGATCTTAGGCAAAAAACCCCCAACAACCTGTCAGTAGATTTAACTTGGCGTATTGCTTATTTTAGCACGTTGCGCCCTCGGGTTTCCCCGCCGTCCTCGGCGTTGGTTGGCGTCCTCATCGCAGCGCGAGCGGAGAAGGCCAGAGGGTGAAGCCCGGGGCAAACGCAGGTCACGCCAGATCCAGATCTCCCTCGGTAATCTCTGCCCCAGCTCTGAACTCTGGATCCCATTAACTGGGATTTATATGTAATAGTGTAGTTGTACCAAAGGCAGTATTGCTTTCTTTTCTGCTCATCATTTCCATCCGTGTAATAAAATCCCTGTAAAACACCATCAAGCTTTTTTTTTTTATTTATTTTTTTATCCCCCCTGATCTCCCCCTCCCCCTCCCCACCTCCTTTGGTAAGAGGCAGGAGGGCTGCAATGTGAGCAGAGGTCTGAGCCACGCCCTCCACGCAGGGATAAAGGAAAGGGATTGGCTGAGAGTTTTATCTGCTGTCAAAGCCTTTTATGGGATGTGGGTGTTCTGGAAAGAGTTGGCACATGAGGAGAATTCACGTTAAGATCTAAAGATGCAAATGTAGGGGATTAAAAAAAAAAAAAGATACCCAGCATGGGAAGAGGTTTTGTCCCACCTCAGGTGCCTCCTTCCTCCTCTGTTTCTCTCTGGGCTGTGCAGTAAGACTCACTGTTTCTGGTACTCTTCCCCTGAGCTGTGGGATCTTCTCCGATCCCATTATTTGCGCCGAGGTCTGTAGTCAAACCCATGAGCTCATTTGACCTAACTTCCTGCTGAGCCTGCCTTCACGGTGCGGTGATACGATGGTTTACACTTGCCAGCTTGATTACCAACCACACCATCGATCTCTAACTTTGTCCTTCGGCAGTTTATTGACCAGCTGATTCGAACGCTGCAAGAAATAAAGGTCCAGAGTTGGGAAGCGACTCGTTGGCCGAGCCGAAATGACACACCGGAGGAAGTTTAAAGCAATAAAATGAGTTGTGAGGCACTGTTGCACTTGTTAGATTGGATCAGTTGTACCATCTAAACCCACCAACTCTAATCCAAAGCTCCAATCCTTTTAGCCAGCCTAGCTACTAATTACAGCAGATCGTCCCTCCTGCTACATCCCTCTGAGTGATCTAATTTGGTACCGGCGCCGGTAAAACCTGAAGGTTACCATCTTATTCACACACAGTCTTGTTTTTGTTTTTATCCTTACATCAAACCTAATAGTAGCTACCTGTCTATAAAAATTTAAAACTGAGATTATAAGACAGTGAGTAGGGAAGTATGCTCTCTGCTAAATTTGTGACTCTTATTTTGAAGCGATTGTGGGAGCACTTCCTGCTTTGTGTTAACATTGAAGAAAATAGATACTCTGTAGAAAAAGAAAATAGAGTGGAAGACAAGATACAAACTGTTTTTGACCAATTATAGTAGCTGGCTAGCCGTTAGCCGCTAATGATGCTAACTTAGCATTTGCTTTGGGTCTAGCTAACTACACTTCAGGGCTGTTTCTTTAAGAGTACTCAGGCTGGCTGTGGTTATACTCAAAGAAAGCTTTAGCATCAATTGTTGAAAAGTAAACACAAAGTTAATATTTAAACAACAAACATGGAAGACATGCTAGCACCTCCTTTTATTATACATCTAAAGTAGGGAACTTGGATCTGGGAATTACATCAAATCCAACTTAATTTTGCTAAAAACAAGTTGGATTTACTAGTTGATATGCTACATAATCAAGCTAGCTACTGTTAGCTTGATTATTTAGCGTATCAACTGTTAGCTACTGTTAAATTACTTGGAGCTCTGTTAGCACAGTGTAGCCCAGTGTATGTCTTTTATTTTATTTTTCAGTGTTTATCATTTTCCAAAAAAAAGTAATAAGCTACATAATATAGGTTTCTCAGCATATTTCAAAATTTTGTACAAAAGGAAGTTCTGTAAAACTGTGCGTGTGAAGAATTTGAATAGTAAAATGTACAAAAAAAATAAAGAAAAAAGAAAAATGTACATTTCAAGCTAAAGGTTAGTGACCATCTTTAACCGTATAGAAAACTGACTTCCAGCAACTTTTAAATGTCAGCTACTGAAAGGCATATTTATCCTGTATCCTTCAACTAATTATAAGTATCAATAAATGACTATGTGGGGTTTGAAAGTTTTTTTTATTTTCTTTTTTGTGTGATTTTGCGACTCAACAAAAAATGATTGACAAAGTTCTTCTATTGTACTATTGTTTCCAAACTGCCATCATATTTTTAAAACTTGGTACTTAAAGAAGAGGTTCTTATTACAGAAAGCTTTAGCAGTACGGACAATACTAAGAGATTTTTTTACTGTTACTATAAATTAGCAAAAAAATAAAAAAAATAAATAAAAATCATCCTTACAGATGAGGAAGAAAAATGGCTTCCATACTTTGTGCTCTAGTTTCTCTCTGTAAGTTGCGTAACACAATTTGAGTCCTTAGAAGCTAAAGTGCTTTCAGCAGTAATATGAAGTATTTTATTAAATACATTCAACAAGGGTATAAGAGGATGACTGGCGCAAAGTCTGCAGGGAACACACAGTTTGCTGTATCTTGGGCAGCAGTGGATACATTATTCATGCGTGTGATTCCTCTCAAGCCACCGAGGGTTTGGGCTCTTCGTCCGGCGACCTCCTGTGACCCATCGGTGCCCTCCACTCTTCATCACACAAATGCTATAAACCTACGCTGGACTGCATCAATTAAACATGAAGGACGAGGACAGGTGGAGTTCACTGAGCTTTGAAGCCTCATACTGCTGGTGATGGTGGATCAGGACACAGAAGTCTGAGGTTTTCTGTTGCATTTTTAAAAAACTATTTCTATCAAATGGAAACCTTTGGTATTGGTTTTGGGGTGTGCATTTATCATGACATATTCCTTATCATGATTACTTGAGTTATCGTTCTCGGCTTAACAACAAAGCTGTCCACATTGTTACTTTTATTTCTTACTATTTTCTCCAATTTTGGTTTAATGAACAAGTCAGCAGATATCAGTAAATTTGAAAGTATGATCAAATGCAGTTACTTTGTAATGCCATAAATCATACTGCTTTACAGTTATTTAAAAAAGAAGCAATAAATTGTTCTTATCGTCACTTTTATTGTTATCACAACAGTACCACAAAATATCGCGATAAAACCTTAAGTCCGTATCGCCCACTGCTATATTGGTGGAAATTTACCAAGACGCATGAAGCCTTTGTGCATTTAAATTGTGAAGCTAAAAAATCCGTTAAGCCCCAAAACAAAAACAAGCCCAGCGTGTTGTTGGATGTGTGATTTCCCTCTGGAGGCTTTGCTCCGTTTACTCCCCAGTCCTCTGCTGACGTCGTGTCTTGTGCCGTTGCAGGTGAAGGTCTGGTTCCAGAACCGTCGGACCAAGCAGAAGAAGGACACCACCAAGGACTCAGACAAGCGCTCCTCCTCCACGTCAGAGTCTCTGGCCACCTGCAACATCCTGCGCCTCCTGGAGCAGGGCCGCCTTCTGTCGGGGCCCGCCCCGCCCCCAAACTCCCTCCTGGGGCCCCCGGCTCACCCCACGAACGGCTCCCTGCTGGGCAGCCCCGGCGGCGGCTCCTCCACCTCCCCGGGCATCAGCAGCAGCACCTCGCCCAGCTCCCTACCCGGCGGGACGTTCGGGCTCTCGCTGCCGTCTCTGGGCGGCACGCCGTCTTCGCCGCGGCTCGGGGTCCCGCCCCCGCACTCCCTCTGCTTCTCCATGCCCCTGCTCGGGGGGGCCCATCATGAACTGACGTCCACCTACGGCTGCGGGTCGTCAGCCTTCGAGCCGTACATGCGCCTGGACAGGAAGGAGGCAGATCTAGGTGGGAAAAAAACGGTTTCCTAAGCGGACCTGAAGCATGTGGGACGTGACTTCAGAAGCCTCATCCTGCCACCGGACAGGCAAAGAAAACCTGTGAACGGCAGTGACAGGGTGGCTCTCTGGCAGCATCATTTTGTGTACAATGATAAAAAAAAAAAAAAGACTTGGTGAAAAGTGTTAAAACTTTGTTTTTGTTTTTTTGTTGGAGAATTGCTGTGTGTTTGTTGCAGACAGATGTTTTTATCATCACTCTCTTTACTGTAGTTTTAAGTCACTTTTTGTCCAGTGAGTTTGTGTGTGTGCGTGTGCGTGCGTGCGTGCGTGTGTGTGTGTGTGTGTGTGTGTGTGTGTGTGTGTGTGTGTGTGTGTGATATTCCCCCCCCCCTCCCTCGCTCTTTATGGGCCTTTTTTTGCTGTTCAGGAAGAAAAAAAACAAAAACATACTTGACATAAATAATTTGAAGCCGTTCTCAGCAGAGAGCCTGGAACAGGAGAGGTGTTGAGTTTCGGTTCCGGGTTCTGTGGCGAGGCCCGGTTTTCGCTGCAGCTGAGCTCAGTGTCTGGATGAGATGAGCAGTAATTATATCTTACAGTTCCTGTTCAAGTGGCCATGTTTGACTTTTAGTTCACGTGCTATCACCATAGAAAAGAAACACACACACACACACACACACACACAGAGAAAAAAAAATAATAATCGTAGTTTCTTAATATCAGTCTGTTTGGTGTCCAGATGTAGTTTTTGTAAAATCGTTCTTTTTTTATTTTTATTTTTTTAGTTATTTTATTTTGGTTGTGTTTGTGTAAATGCTAAGATCCAGACAAATGGTGAAAACTTGCAGTACATATCCAGGGCTGACAGTTTAACATGAAAGGAAGTGAAGACGAACACAGGTGTGAGGAAGACGGCGGAAAGATGAAGCTACAGAGCTGGCTGACGTTTCGTTCATCGAGGTCGCAGCCCCGAGATAGAAAGAGAGAGAGAGAGGGAGAGAAAGGGACGACCTCTGAACCCAGATTCAGGTTGATTCACGTGTCTCGCAGTTTCTCAGTCAAACTCAGAGAGAGAGTTCACAGACAGAAAAATAATCTATTTAAGGAAAATCAATCTGGAGGTTTTTGCTCCAGCTGCCTTTTCAGCTGCAGGCGATGAATCAACATGTTGCTCCACCGAAAATTCACCTCCAACGTTCGTATTTGTTCGAGCGAAAGAATACCCGAGTCCAAAGTTAGCATGTTTAGACTGCGTGTGTTTTGCTTTTTGTAAAACGGTAAGTTTGTGTCATTGTTTTTTTTTTTTTGTTCACTTTTTAAAATCCATAATCTGAAAATGTTTGTGGAATATTTGAGATTAGGCATGGGCCGGTAGGAGATTCTCACGGTTTGAGTGAAAATGTTCTATACACTAAAATGTAAAAACAACAAACAAACTTACAATCTTCAAAGCAGGAAAAAAATAATTATTCCTGCTGTTGCTAAAGTAATCTGATGAAAGTAGTCATAATAATGTGATTTCTTGACTTTATTTTTATGAGTCACAAAATGGAGCAAAAATACAGAAACCTTTGAAATGTTTTCAGATATTTATTGCCAAAAACAGTTTTCCTATTCTGATCCTTATTCACCTTGTTCCAGTTATCTACCAGGCTATTTCTGAGCAAATATGGATCAAAACATGTTATAAAATCAACACTTTGAATGTGACCTAAAGTCTGACTATATATACCAGAGCATCAATCCATACAAACAGAGACTGGAGGTAAAAACAGAGAATATTTCTGCCGTTTTATGGTTTTAAATCACAGATGAAATTAATTTTAGTTTGAAAATGTGGTCCGGTTTGTTCATGTAGTGATGAATCACTCCAGATCCTACAACACAACAACCCTAATCGTTTTTAAAATGTAAAATCAGAGCAGATTTTTACAGGAGTTTGTTTACAGCTGGGACTTCTATGTGAGGACCGGGCCGCCTGTGAGTGATTCGTGGCAGGAGAACTTGTCAATAATAGGAAGAGCAAAAAAGGCTTTTACTGTTGTCAGAATGTCCTGTAACACTGAAAAACGTCTCCAGATTTATCTATAAATGAAAAATGATATGTTTTTGAAAAAGAGCTCAGTTAGCAATGGTAAAAGTAGCAAACTTACAAGCCTTCTTCAGTGGCTTAATTTAGGTTTTTCAGCTAAATTCATGTTTATTTCTTGTCTGCTGGTAACCAAAGGAAAATAATGTAGTGATTAAAGGAATAGACCTGACTTTACTTTGAAAGGTTTGATGCAACGTTAAGCTGGATTAAAGGCTCAGATACTGATGTCATTTTTATTGTGATCGTCACAAAGAAGAAGTAGCTGCGTTGTCATTACAAACGTGCGCAAAACTTTGTCGATGTTTCGCTAATGTCAAGAAACGTAATTTTAGAATTTAAATAAGAAATTTTATTAAAACCACATGCGAATGAATCTGCTCATGCGTTAGGTCATTAAAAAAACTTAATGACATCATCTCCCTACCACTTCCTGTCGTTTTCTTAGTCATTTCCTCCAGCAGTAACATCCTGTTGATCACATGACTCATGATGTGGAAAAAGTGTTCCTGTTGCAGAAATACACTCATTTCGATTCAGGCAAGAAAGTTTCCTCATCCTGAGGTAAAAACTTTTTATCGAAAGACATATTTTCATAAATACAGTTTGTGAAATTATGACGATGGAACAGCTACAGAAAATATGCCTGTTTAGTAAATGAGGGTTTATCTTTTGAACCGCAGTCCCTTTACACGCTTGCTGCTCGTCGTCAACTTGTACTTCTCCAACTTTCTAACCTTAATAGTAACAAAAAGTGGGACTCTTTCAGTTTCCATGTTATCAGGACATTGTGCAGCAGCAGGTGAGGGAGGGGCAGGACACTAAATGCTCCATACAGCCAGAGAACAAAGCTACTTTTCTCCAATCATCTCATCTAAATGTTTTGTGTTTCACGCCAAGAGCTTAAGCTTTTTAAAAGATGTATATGAAAACCTTTGGGCGTCTTGGTGAGCCCTGGGAATCTGCCTGGCCCATGCCTAGCGGAGACGCGTTCCGCCGCATCACACAAACATCATTACAGTGAGTTTCACTTTGACCCTGCTCTTGTTTTCCACCTCCCATCCTGCTTCACCTTGGCCCTTCCTTCTGATTGCTCTTCATTGAAAGCACTTTATGGTTTTGTTTTCTTTTCACATCGCCAGCTGTTGCTTCATTCTTCAGCTTTTATGTTTTTTTTTTTTAAAAAGAAGAAGAAGAAGCCATTTATCGAAGGCAAAAAGAGAGAGAAAAATCTAATGTTTTATTCTCTGGTTGGCATTTAGCGGCGGCTTAGTCTTAGAAAAGTCGATTTTCATTATTGCAGTCCCTCAGTTGGTTTTATAATTGACTGCACTTTTTTTTTTCTTTATAATTGAATGATTTGAAGCTAAGCTGACCTCCGTGTGTTTGGGTTGGTGAAAATGACATTCATTGAGGACGCGGAGAGCCGAGGAAATATTGAAGGGACCACCTGTTTTGCGTTGTTTTTCTTTCTCACGAGAAGCAATTCATCCAGGTTTCGTTCTTGTCCAAATCAACCCGCGAGAACCTACAATTTGCAACAGTTTGCCCTCAATTTGCGCGTGTCATTTGAGTTTTCATTCCCCTCTTCGCTCCCGTTTGTCGTCACTTTTTCCTTTTGAACATTTTTCCCTTTCTCCTGTTGTGTGTGCGCGGTTTATTTATTTATTTTTTTTCATTATTTTTCTCTCAGTCTGAGGTGTTTCTGCAGCATAGAAAAGGAAAAGGAAAAAAGAAGCAAACAGCAGAAAGGTACTGCCGTGACATCAATTTGTAAAACACTTACGAGTGAAGGCAGGGCTCGTTTTTCCGTTAAATTTCCCGGGGAGCGCGTGGAGAGGATCTGACCTCGGTGTGTCGGCTCGCGGGGCCTTTTGGCGCCCGTGTAGCAGCAGTTTGTAGCTGATGATTTCTGCAAAAAGAAAAGGAGGAAGAAAAAAAAAGAAAAAGAAAACACCCACTCTGGGCTCTTTGCAGCAGTACACCTGTGCTCTTGTCGAACACTGTATTATTTTCCATAAGCACCATCCATAATTCACACGCTCCTGCATCAAATATTGAGCAGTGAAACGGAGCTGAGAGGTCAGGAGGGCCTGCTTCTCGTGTAAAAACCACCGCGCTCCTTTGCAGATTGTCTTTTACTCCACCCTTTTCCTTCGCAGCATCTGTTCTCGTTCTTCTTTTTTTAATTTTTTTTTTTTTTTTTTACGTTGCTTCAGTTGCTTGAGATAATTGATGCAGAATAAAAATAAAAGAAAATCTCTTATCGGTAGAAACCTGCTCATTTTCAGTCTCAGATGCGTGGACAGCGTTGTAAATGAAGGAAAGAAAAGAAAAGAAAAAAAAACACACACAGGTTAAGGCTTCGCTCACTTTCATGTTTTCTTCTCTTGAGATTCAGCACCGACTCCTTTTTATGTCATTGATCGATGGTGTTTTGTAATGTATATCTGCAGTTGTTGTATTGTGCGCTCAGCTTGGAGGCGGCGGCGGGAAAAGGTTGAGAGAGCGAGACGCCGCCTCTCCTCCCAGGAAGAACTGATAAAGCCTTGCTTCGGATTGGACAAAGCCCATTTCCTGTTTATTTATCTTCTCATTCCAGCTGAAAGGAAGTGTTTTACTTTTGTGTTGTTTTTTTTTTTTTTAAAGAAATGCTCTCCGTGATTCTTTTAGGTTGTATGAAGCTGTTTTAATTTCTCATGATCCAAAAGCCACCCAACCTCTTTTTATTTTTTTTCTCTTTGAGCAGTAAAACCTAAAACCTAAAGTCAAGCTAACGGCACCAGCTACTACTTGTGACAAACATGTACATAGATATAAATTTATATATAAATATATATATAAATGGGTCTTTGCACAAGTTATCTCTGTGTCTGCTCTGTGTGATTTTAACAGGAGAAAAAAAAGCAAAATGTGAAAAAAAAGATTAGGCAAAAAAAAAAAAAAAAAAAACTTTATATATGCTTTACAGTTCTTTGTCTCATTAACATTTTGCACTTATTTAAAGAGGCTTTCTTTGGTTTCCGGGCTGACGGAGCTGTTTTCACGCTCTGCTGAGATATTGTACAATATGTATATGTATTTTTATTCATATGCATATAAATATATGTCTATGTAATTTGACTCTGGTGTTCTGTCTGCTTCTTTTCCACCATCATCAAGGCCAGAAAAGTAAATTTGCTCCGTCTCTATTCATTCCTCCTTTTTTTTTCATTAGTGCGTCAACCTGCTATGGAAACCTTGACAGTCTTCCTGCTTCTCAGACGGACATTTTAAGCTCTTTTTGCATAAACGTTCTGTTTTTAAATCTATTAGGCACTCTTAACCCTTTCATGCATGAATTATGATCATTTGTGTCAGGATTATTTTCCAGTTTTTTTAAATTTTCTTAAGGCATTAAAAAAAGGTATGAAAAAAATTTTGTACAATTTTTTTTTATTTTTAGGTGGTCAGTTGTAATTTTCTCTGAGTACAAAGTTATTTGAAAAATGCATCTTTAGGGGTTATCTGATCATGTTTTTACCTGCAAGTGTTGTCTACAGTAGAAGGAGGGACTGGGTCGGTTGCCATGCTTTTTTGTCTGTCGGCCATATTGGATTTAACAAAAATAATTTCTTGCATTTGCAGCTGATGGCCAATAGTTGATAGTGCATTTTATGATTCATTAGTGTCCACTTCAGTGGTCTGTGTGCATTTATAACATACAAATCCACAAGAAGCACAAGAAAATGGCTTTTAGACAGCTGTCCACTGTAGTGACCACGATGCATGAAAGGGTTAATTATGATATGTTTTGGTTGATGCTATCAGAAACTGCTGAAATGTGTTCAGCGCTGCAGAGTTTAGAGGAACATTCAACTTTTTAACCTCTTTATTCTTCATGAAGCAACATATAGCCAGTTGAAAGAAAAAAACAAACAAAAACTAAACGTTTCACTGACGGCAGCTGAATTAGTTCAGTCTTTTTCTGGAAAAAGTTTTTTTTTTATTCTTTGAAAATGATCCATCTGCTATCGCTCAAGCTCTTGTTGTGGAAAAGTTTCACAGAGTAAATGTGAGCGATAAATTTTTAAGTGTGTCATAAAAAATAAAATAGGCATTTGTTTAGCTGCTATTTTTGTCATTTTTTTATTCAGTTAGATTCATCTTTACCAACATTGATGTTAAATCTTAACATCTCACACAGTGAGACTTTTATTCAGATTTCACTCTAAATCTAGCGGCTAAATGTGGCCGTCAGCCACGATTTGTAGGAGATTTATAAGAAGCTTTGAAATAAATTCATATAATCACATGAATCTAGGAAGAAAATCTAAGATTATTTAACAGTTAAGCAGCAATCGGTTTTTACCAAAATTCCATGAGAAACCGTATTTGGGAAAAGCTTCAAAAATATCTCCAAAGACCCCATTTTGGCAGGATTCCCATCCAGTCTGCAGAATAAGGAAGAAGATTGGACTGTTTTCCAGTTCTCAATAACTACAGAGAAAAAAAGAAAAAAACAACAGACTTTTAAACTTTATTTCTCATCTATTTATCTTAATATCACTCCTTTCTCTCCATCATCCTCACTTCCCTTTTCTTCTTCTTTCTGTCCATATTTCTGGTTTATATGGTTTATATCCCATCCATACAACTCAAAATTAAATAAATGAATAAATAAATCAGGGATTCTTGCATGTCTTTATCACAGCACCAATGAGGAGGACTAGTTCTGCAATGTTCAGAAGTTCATTTTGTCAAGATGTCTGTAAAAATAAAACTAGAAAACAGTCTGGAAAAGTCAGGATATTTTGTTTTAAAAATGTTTAGAGATCGGCAGCAAAGCCTGGCGGTGTTGCGTCGCCACCTCTCCATGACAACCTGTGTATATTGTGGGAGCCATGACAGGAAGTAGCTTCTGTCACTCCTACCAGCACAAACGTAAAAACACAAAGAGTTCAGTGAAATCTTTGAACTGCCTTCTTTGAGCCAATTAAACATTTCCATTTCAAAAGAGCTACTTTTTAAACCCCCAGTTACAAAGTAAAATATCCCCAGAAGCACAAAAGAGGATAGATTTTTATAAATATGGTAGAAATTAAACAAAAACATATTTTAATTGTCAGATTGAGCTTTTACAAAAGAAAGAAAGAACTCTGTTTTATAGAATAAGGCCAGCTTGGTGCACTCTACATAAATATGGAAAGAGAAGAAGGACACTTAGAGATAATAAGGACATCATTTAAAACTGAAACACATTGAATTGCTTTCGGTGGCCTTGCGGTTTTCTTCTGTTGCATTCTGCACATATACTGAATCAAAACATGCAGAAGAATCGCTAGAATCAAAATGTTCAGGTGGGTCTGATGTTAAACAAAGCTCAAAATCACCAAAATCAGCACAGTGAAAGATCTATAATGCAGTGGGCTTGTGTGCATAAACTATTTGAAATATGGGGACGTTTAAAATAAAACACTATCTGGTGAAATCTCCTGGAAAGCTGAAAATGAGTTGTTAATGACATGATAATAAACGTCCAGATAAAAAGAAACTGTTCAGCAGACAAAAAAATAAATAAATAAATAAATAAACAAAACGTAAACTTTCTGCCATGGCAACCAGAGTCAACAAACCCAAATCCTGTTGAGAGCTGAGCTGAAGAAGAGGAGAGATTGTGCAGAAAAGAAAGGTCAAAGGTCGTTCTCTCTGTAGGCTCCAACTTTGTAAAATGTTATAGAAGAAGAGTGTCGCAAACATTATGTTGCACCAATTATTAACAGCAAACCCATAACTGTGCCTATAGTGATTTTTTTTTACATAAAACATTTCCTTGTAATATAAAAATGTGCAAAAGTTAAAAGTTGAATTTTTCTACGCCAGTAACTATTAGGTTAGGCAGTTGCATTAAAAATGAACAAACTTTAACGTGTTTTACAGGCAAACTCAAAAGATCCTTTCTTAAAAAAAGCTTTTTGAAAAAGTATGTTTCGTTAATAATAAAAAAATGAAATATGGAAATAAAAGAGTTGAGCCTGGGGTGTTTCATAACCAGAGGATAGTAAAGTTTACTTGCTTAAATCTGCCAACAGGACTGAACACAATCGATCAAATCTGTGGTCTTAATATCAGCAGAAACTCTCTGGTACCTTCAAACAAACAAGATGCGACTCTGGTGGAGAAAAACTAGCAAAGAACCTGGAGCTGTGAAGGCAACACACTAAGCCGAGCCCTCCGACACACACTCCCTCCCTTCAGCCCAGATTTTAGAGAGAGGCACCTCTTCACACCGGGACAATGGATCCGCGGGGTGCCAATTACAGCGATTGGCACCTTTATTTGAGCGAGGAAGAGGCGAGCATAGCAGCAGAAAGAAGACCAGATGGGTGGCCAGTTTGAAAATACGAGGGAGGGAACTGGAGGGGCGGCGGGCAGGGAGGAGGCGGAGCGGAGGAAGAGGCTGCGGCGGTAAACATCTCCTACAGAGGAATGAACTAATTGATTCTTTACAGCTCTTTCTGAAAAGGTGAGCTCCATCCAGTCGGAAACACAAACAAACAGAAGCGGCCTCGCTGTTTGGGTCGGGTCAGCAACATGACATCCTCCTGATGCCGGTTCCACATCTGACAGGCTTCCAGGAACGGGACGGCGTCGCGTCTGTCCTCACGTGAAGACGAAAGTTTAGGAACGATTCCTACATCCTCCAAACCGTAACCAGAGGAGACATGCAGGTAAACAAAAGGTGCAAAATGTTTCCCTGAACATGCTTCCTTATGAGAAACATGTTCTGCAGGGAACATATGTGTCAAACTCAAGGCCCGGGGGCCGAATCTGGCCCGCCGAAGCTTTTTCATGTGGCCCTTTAGACTCAAAATTACATCAATAAGTCCTTCCAGTTTTTAACAAATCTGCAAAATTCACACAAAATCAACAGATCTCCACATTTTTTTCTTAGATTTTACTGTAAATTTTCTCAAAATTGGTCAGAGACACTGAGTTTAAGTGACAGCTGCCTCAGCCTTACTTGATGTCAATAGTGTGTAACTGATATGGCGAGTAACAAAAAGTCACATTTAACACATTAGAGCAAATATCTTGAAAATTCCTTACAAACATTTCTAAATTGGCACCACAAAATCTGTAAAGTGATTGCAAAAAAAACAAAAAAACAAAAACAAAAACAAACAAAAACTAAAACAATCACAGAATCTTGGCTAGGTGCTCTATGCAACCTATGTTATGTAATTTAGCAGTTTATTTGGTTTTATCAATACATGTTTTGGCATTCCGGCCCTTTAAGAACATTCAGATTTTTGATGTAGCCCAAAATGAAACTGAGTTTGACTCCCCTGACGTAGAACATGCAGCAAAACTGAAAATAGATTCAGTAACAGAGGAGTAACTCTATGCATCAAAAACTTTAAAGCAATTAAAAACTTCTGTTGTTGTGAATTTTCCCTTGGGATTATTAAAGTACATTGATTTATTTGTTCATTTTAATTGTTTAAAAATGAATTAATTGATTAAAAAAAAAATTCTGTTTGGTCCGTCCTAATTATGTTAAGAAATGTTTGTAAAAGTTTTCTTTTAGAGGAATTCTATTTAATTATTGGTTGTATTTTGTTAATTTCTTTAATAAACAAATTAAAAGCAACTAGACTCTTTGTTATGATTAATTAATTAAACAGTACTGATGCTATGCATCTCTGTGTTTCACCATCTTCCTGCTTCTGAAGAAGAAAAGGTCCAACAGAACCAATCGATCTACTGAAGTCACCTTCTGGTACATTAAGCCTAAAAAAATTTAAAAGACAGATCAAATTAAATGAAACCAGAGTAGTCTAAATATGGCGGATTTTGAAGGCATCCAAATGCACAAAAATAATTTTAAGAAATCATAGTTTGATTTGAAAGTTTTGTTTTAAACAGCTTGATTGAACATCTTGATTTAAAATTTGAATCTAATTTTAAAAAATTGCCTTTTTTTGTAACAGAGTTGAATATTTGTAAGGCATTGAGAATAAAACACCAGCATAGGTCATTATAATTTATTGTTAAATTAAGAATTTATGACACTAATTAGAAGAAAACCCAAAACCCTAGTGGATTATTTAAACCACGAACTAAAATCTGCTCTAATTTAA